TGCAATCTCTAAATTTGTATTTATGATCATATTTATGCTGTATTTCTCTTTTCTTCTTATCCTCTTTTTTATTTCTTTTTCTTCTTTCTCACAGTCCCCCTTTCTCCTCTTTCTCCTCTCCCTCCTTTACTTCTCTCACAATGAATGTATGTTCTACAGTCTATGACAAATCCCATAAAGTTTATTTAACTAAAAAAACAGTTTGTATTATATTGCTGTGAATCAGAGTGAGCAAAGGCCAGGATTCTGATAACAACAAGGAAATGTCAGAGAACATTTGAGAAGTTCATGAAAATTTCCTAGAATGAAAAGAACAGCAGAAGAGATGACCATTTCCTGGCAATTTTTGAATTGCGGAAGCCAAGAAGGTGAAAATTCAAGAAGGAAGCATAATGGACAAATGTTGCAATGACCTTGCAGAGTGCTTAACCTCCATAAACTATAATCTTCTTATCTTGAATATGTAATAAAGTGGGATCTGGATTAAAGCAGAAAATATATAAATTGTATCTCAGATATAAATTATTTAAATATAATCATTAGCCCTAGTGGTTTAGCTAAGTTGATTGAGCATTGGCCTATGGGCTGAGGGGGATCTTGGGTTCCATTCCAGTAAAGGGCAATTGCCTGGGTTGAGGGCTCCATCCCCAATGGGGAGCATACAGGAGGCAGCCAATCAATGATTCTCTCTCATCATTGATGTTTCTAGCTCTCTACCTCCCTTGCCTCTCTGACATCAATAAAAATATATTTATTGATAAATATAAATATTAAGTATAATTTTAAATATATAAATATTAAGAATAATTTTAAAATACATTTTTATTGATTTCAGAGTGAGTAAAGATGAGGGAGAAAGAGATAGAAACATCAATGATGAGAGAGAATCATTGTTCAGTTGCCTTCTCCATGTCCCCCTTCTCCCCCACTTCTGCTCTGACCAAAAGTCAAACAGTGACCTTGTGGTTACTGAGTCAAGCATCAAACACTGAGCAACACCAGCCAGACAAATATAGTATTTATGCACTGTCAAAATGTTCATTGGAAAGAGAAACCGAATTTAAATAAACTCACTCAGGATTATTCAGGAAATAAAAACCAAATCACAGTGATAAAACATAAAACATATCAACATATCTAGAAATTATGTTTCCCCTGAAACTTTATGACTGGAGGGAGAAAGTTAAAGATATGATCAGACAGTCAATTTATAGAAGAGTGAGGGTGGCAATCTGAAGTCAGTTATGACAAATAGATGCAATTTTCTCTATAGAACAGGTTATTTTTTTCCTGTAATTTTGAGTTATATGTTTCAAAAATTAATGCTATTTTTGAGTAGTTTGTTCAAGGAAAAGAATTAGAGGTATGTGGCGAAAAGCAAGAAAAATATTTTGTGAGCAATGTTGTAGTCTATGTATAGGAACCTAAATGGAACCTTTTTTTCTATAGCTTTGAGTGTCCTTAGTAGGACAACAGTGTAAGTAAATTTAAGGTATTTCTAGGATTCAGATTTTAACAAGTAGGGCTATTTAAAGCCATAGTTTCAAAGAAGTCATTAAAGTTATTGCGAATATGTACTAAGTGATAAACTTGACATTCTATATTTAAAAAAAAGAAATAAAATTGGAAGTGAGCAGAGAAAATGCATGTATGTGGAAAGATAGAGGCTTCTGTATGGTCAAAGTAAGGAAGGTAGTATTGCTTCAATCCCAGGCATGAACAGATCAACCCAAGACAGTTGGCATCTGTGGTATGGGAGAATGGCTCAGCACAGGGATCCTGGCAGCTGTCCCTTCAGCTCTCTACCCACAGCCACACATCCCAGTCTCTCCTCAAGTGACTCTAGCCCACTTCGCCCGACCTCCACTGTAGCCCAGGGTGAATGACTGCAAACAAAATTGTGTGCATTGGCTCTTTAAGATGGTACCTGTGACTCTTGCAAACCCCCATCTCTCCCTGGCAGACAGAAAACCTGCAGCTTTCACAGGCAGATGTTACAGTGGGGGCCTCTTCATGGCTCTGGTGCTCCTGGCTAGAGATCCTGGCTTGGGTTTTAGACTGCAGACTTTTCTGTGGCAAACATATTTAATGTGAACTATATTTCGCTATTGACCTTCAACAACCTTCATATTTACTCACCTCTACCCTAAGATATCCCTCCAGAACCTTATCTTTCTGTGGGAAAGGAGCCAGCTCTTTCTATCCATCTCAATGTGATTTCTGTAAATCCTTGGTTATAGGACTTCTCTTCAGCTAGTCTTCAGTCAGTTATTCAGGATGATTGTTTTATAATTTAGTTGAAATTTCAGTTTGGACCTGGGAAGAGGTGAATGTAGCTTGCACCTACTCCACCACCATTTTGGGTCATAAAGAAATAACTTTGAAATATAATCTTTTGTGTATAGTGTTCATTTCAATTTTTCATATTGATAGGCTTAGATGCCATAATCATTCCTTTAACCAATTCCTTTTCTCAGTTTGGCTAATACTGACTCAACTTTATATGAGAGTTTCTATGAGGTCAACTAATTCTAATCTATTTCATCATATTTCATGGCCTATATTTTTGAGCAATTCTAACATTTCTCTAATTTTTTCCTGGTTCCATTAGACACAGTTCCTATTCTCAACCTTCTCCAGGATCCTCATATTTTTCAGTAAGTCCATAGAAGCTAGAAGATAACACCTAGTTTTACTCCATAGCAATAAGCAAGCAAAAACCTCCTCCTGAGGTCAAACCCTTCATCTGGCTTCAAGAGCCTATTCATGACTCCTGTCTTCAAGAAGACCCTCTTTGCCTCTCCTATTCAACAGCTAGCATAAACTAGGCATTTCCCTTGTGTTTATTGCATATTATTATAGCTTTATTAAAATTTTGTTACAGCCCTAGCCGGTTTTGCTCAGTGGACAGAGCATTAGCCTGTGTACTTAAGAATCTCAGGTTAGATTCTAGTCAAGGGCATATTCCCGGGTTGCTGGCTCCATCACTAGTCAGGGTCATGCAAGAGGAAGCAGATCAATGATTCTCTTTCATCATTGATGTTTCAATCTCTCTCTTCCTCTCTGAAATCAATAAAAAATATACAAAATATATTTTAAAATGTTTGTTATATTTTGTAACATTTCAGCTTTATATTATTGATAATTTATCATAAATGTTTTGATGTCCTTGGGGAGAAGAATTTTGCCTTTTTATTGTTGTTACATTCTTGGGAACTAACAAAATTCTGGCAAACATATTTAATGTGAACTATATTTCGCTATTGACCTTCAACAACCTTCATATTTACTTGTCTTCAATACTGCATATTTGAATATCTTTGGATCTAGTCATTATCCAGAAAGTCTCTTTCTGGCTTTCTTTCCTCCTCCTTCTTTTTCTCCTCCTCCTCCTCCTCCTCCTCCTTCTTTCTTTCTTTCTAGAGTGGAAGAGGAGAAAAAGAAACAGAGAAACATGAATGTGAGAGGGACACATTACATGGTTTCCTGCTGCATTCACCTTAACTAGGCCCTGGGATTGAACCCACAACCCAGGTATGAACCCTTGACCAGAAAATGGACCTGGGACATTTTCGTGTGTGGGTTGAAGCTCTAACCACTGAGGATACCAGTCAGATCCAGAGAGTCTGTTCTTTTTGATGCTGAAATTCTCACCTAGTCAAAAACTGTAATCTTTACTTTGTAACATTGCTCACTCTTATAAGGACTTGTTTTTACCTTTTATCCCCCATTTCTATCTTCCAGCCCATATGAGAGTTCTGGTTTACTACTCAACTACTGCCATCTCCTCTTTCGTAGCTCCACCACTTCATGATTAGTAATTTTAATACAGACACATTCACTTGATCTTTTGATATTGTAATGCAATCATCTTGGTATAAATCAACTTGGGTAAAAAAAAAAAAAAAAAAAAAAAAAAAAAAAAAAAAAAAAAAAAAAAAGCGATTGCAACTCTCATTCACCATTACTGCCGAGGAAATTTTCATTCTTTTTTATTTTCACAGGAACCAAAAATGCTCCCTCTTTTCAATATATATTTTATTGATTTTCTACAGAGAGGAAGAGAGAGGGATAGAGTTAGAAACATCAATGAGAGAGAATCATCAATCAGCTGCCTCTTGCACACCCCCTACTGGGGATGCTCCCACAATCAATGTACATGCCCTTGAATGGAATAGAACCTGGGACCTTTCAGTCCGCGGACCGACGCTCTATCCACTGAGCCAAACTGGTTTCGGCTGCTCCCTCTTTTAAATATCACAAACTCATCACCACTTGCCTCACTGTCAGTTGAAAACTCAATCATTCACCTCAGTTGGGAAAATAAGATAATTTAATTTCAATTTTTCTACCTTACATTTCAAAGTATTTATTATGTTTATTCATCTGCTCTTTTTGTTTATACCAGCCATCTATATTCCTTTTCTCAGATGTTTCTTTGCAAAGAAAGGCTTATCCTCTTGTGTATAAGGCAATGGTTTTAAGCAATGATTTTTCATTCCCAGATTAAGTGTCCCTGAAGTGAGTAGTTTTTCTTACATGACGAAGCTACCATCATGGACTTATCATTTTTCCCCCCCATATGGCATAAAGCACTAACAACTGCTCTGGTTACAACTTGTGGCCTTTGTGAAGCCCCTGTGCACCACTGGTTCTCATATAACATTCCTCCATAATTGAGATCTTGACGACCCACCAAGTGCTAGAAACCTGTGTCTCATAACTTGGGCTCTGAGCCAGAAGGTCACTGTCCTCTAAGAATTGTCTTTAGTTATTAGATACTAGTAATTGCACTTCCTGGACTGATTCCCTTCACAGATGTGAATCGCTCCCTTGTTAAAATGCTCCTGGGCATTTCTGGGGACAGATATTAGGCATAAATCATTTTCTGATCATGCCAATTTCTTGGAATTGAAATTCACTATTAATTTTTTCAAACCATAAAATTAGCATACCATTAAATATAGTATATAAGTAGCCACAAAAGCAGACAGACCATCATTGGCTAAGCTCGTTCTTCACTTCTTGTTCTCCACTTGAAGAAAGGTAATAATTTAATATATAAATTTGATGTGTCCTCTTTTTGCTTTGTTTTAAATTCAGCAAATTAAAAAATATATATATACAAAATGTGTGTGTATGTATATATATATATACTTTTTAAAATATAGTATTTGAAATAAAAGTATTTATGCAGTACTGAAATTATTTTAAAAATAGTAAAAATGATTATAAAGATTTGGTAAAAATTATAATGACTACATAAGCTTAATGAATTCAAGAAAATATAATAATGGTGATTAAATTTTTTTTTATATAAGATTAGTTAACAGTTTCTATTAACAGATGAATTTTAGGCTCTGATTGGGATGAGCTCAGTTGGTTATAGTGTTGTACCAATATACCAAGGTTGAGGGTTCTATTTTTGGTTAGGGTACATACAAGAATAAACCAATAAATGCATTAATAAATGGAAAAACATATCAATGTCTCTGAGATTGATAAATTTGGCAAGGCTTGACGGGGGCCATGGCCTCTGCTTGGCAGGGCTTGACTGGGACCTGAGGCTGCACCTCCTGCCCAGCACTGGGCCAGGGGATCTGAGGCTGCACCCCCTGCCTGGAGAGGCTTGGTGGGGGTGGGGCTGGCCAGGTCCTGCCTCACCCAGTGAGGGAGGGCAGACGGGTCTGGGTCTCCTGCATTTTCAAAGTGCTTGCAGGTGGTGGGAGGGGGTTTGACTCTAGGTCCTGCAGTGCACCTCAGGCTCTGACAGAAAGGAGATTTTATATACATTTTACTAATTTTCTTTCATCTCTGACACTTCTATTATAGAGAAAGGGCAAGTAGCAATATTAAAATATTTCTTCTAATTAATTCCTTCTTAATGTGCATAAATTTCATGCACTGAGCCACTAGTTTAGTTTATAAATCTGTTTATAAGTTGAAGATTATATGTCAAGGTGTATTGATAGAACAAATAATATTTTTTACAAGAAATTATAGAGGTGAAACAAAGTCAGCATTGGATACATTTTGCTCAAAAATGTTAACAAATAGTTTATGTTATGACACAAGAAGGAATGGTCTACAATAGGGACTGGGCAACAGAATCTGATCCTTTGCTAAATCATCAAATGATTACAGAAAAAAGAAAAGAAATGGTATATGATCTATAAAGTTATATGTCACAAAGGAGAAAAGACATCATTAGGAATATGAGGATGAAGACTGTGTAGTGGGTACACATGGAGAAAAAAATTCAGTCCAAGAAACATCTGGATAGTGGAGAAAATAATGAAAGACTCAAACAAAGATCTCAGTCTTGCTAGAAATAAAGATATATGATTAAACAAAATATTCCTAGAAAGGTAAAAACAAATATGATCTTCTATGTATATACTTTCTTTAATCAGCATTTTCTCAATAGATATTAGGTGGAGACCCTAATATTTTGTTCCATTACTTTAAATCAAGATCCCAGACAGCATCAGGCATTTAAGGATGTGAAATAAATATTACTCATTTTGAATAAATGAACCAATTAATAAAGTTTTATATAATAATTTAAATCATTCTATTTTTCAAAACACCACAATTGTAAAGGAGACAAAAAAAGAGTGATGTAGGGTACAACTTATAGTTTTAAAAAAAATCTGAATGGTTGGTATTAAATTATAAAACTGATATGTAAGACCAAGTAACTATTGTAGATTTTGCCTTTGATGTATGATAAAACTTTTATTAGTATTTTTTCTAAAATGAAAATATTTTACTCTTACTTTGTTTTTATTTTCTTTAAATAAAAGTAATTTTACCTAAACAAGGAAATATGTTAGATTAACAATTATACTATCATTTTCTCATTTTCCCTTTCACAGGACTTGAGAGCCATGAAGGTCCTCATCCTCGCCTGCCTCGTGGCCCTTGCTCTTGCATGGGAGGTAAGAAAAACTCTAAATGATTAACATTAAATGCACATAGAAAGCTGAATTTCAATCGATTTTTTTTTGTTAACTTCTGGGAAATCACCTACATTCACCCATTTTTTCAATAGAGTCCTTTTAGAGCCATAAAGCTTGGTTAAATGTTTTCTACATCACGGGTTTTAGGAAACCAGTTCCTAAAAAACAGACCAACCAATAAGTATCAGCAAAAGAAAGAACCAAGAAAAAAGAGTAATATTGCACAAATACAATTGCATGAATGTGCAAAGTAGACAAACATATCAGTGATGAAACTGATGTACCTCTTACCCTGGAGCATTGGGCCAAATCCTACCTGGGTCTACTCAAAGAAATCCAGTGAAGCATAAGGCAACAGTTATATTCATAAACATATTTTTAACCGTAGTGAAAAGTGTTTGATACAAATTCAAATAATTCCCTTTCTGTTACTCATGAAAAATTGTTCTTCACTCAGGTACAATAAAATTATACCATTGAAGTTATTAAGAATAAAAGACATAAAATACGATTGCATTTCAAGGATTTTAGGAGACATACATTTTTTATTTCTTAAGTTTGTGAAGGACATAGCTCTGCATAAAGAAGGTAAAAAGTAAGCAAGAAAATGAGTTTGCTATGGAAACTAAATGGTGTTTTTTTCTTCTTTACAGAAGAAAGAAGTCAGTGTATCCAGTGAGGTAAAATATTTTACTTAGAGAAAAAATTTACCACCTATGAATAGTAACATTCTGCCCTGGGTATTGTGGCTCAGTTAATTGGAGGGTTGTCCCATATACCAAAAGGTTGTGGGTTCAACCCTTGGTTTTGTGGACAAAAGACAACTTATATATGTTTCTCTCCTCTCTCTCTCTCTCTCTCTCTCTCTCTCTCTCTCTCTCTCTCTCTCTCTCTCTCTCTCTCTCTCCTCCTTTCTCTCTCAAATTGAAAAAGAAAAAAAAATTAATATTCTTTGATGATCCAATTGTTGATTTTGTATTTTTCTTTACAGACTGTAGAAACCATTTCCAGCAGTGAGGTGAGACGATGTTCATTCTGTGGCTATTTTCCATTCAGGAAGAGTAAATTGCTAGATACTCTTAAAGGGGTGGGGAACAATTCAGGCAATATAAGGCCTGAAAAGTCATTTGGCCTGGCCCTGCCAAGGCATTAGGGGTGAGTTATTCTAATGTTTTACCACATATGGCAGGCTATTTTTTAAGTTGGTAATTTTCCATGGCCCCCAAACGATGATGTAAATATCCAAATTCTCATTGTCAGAAAAAAGGTTCCCCATCCCTGGTTATATTGTGTTACTTTAGGTCATTTAAGTCATGGCAGCTAGTTCTGACATATGAATTCTAATGTAAATGTCCATGAAATATTTAAGATCAAAGTAAAATGCCTGCAGAATTCATGGTTCAAGCACTTTCTATGCTAGCTGCTATGTGTATTGTCACCCTTTCTTTTAGTGAACTCTACAGTTCTTTGTGTGTGTGTGTGTGTGTGTGTGTGTGTGTCTTGACCTCGCTCCACCCTGACCTCATTCACTGTTTTGACATTTTAGAGCATCTTCTGTGGATTAAACATTGAGTAGGAGCTGTGCTACAAATTGAAAAGCATTCTTTATAGGAAAGAATGCCAATATAGGGGTGGGCAGATTTACAAATGAACATATTTTTGTCATTACAAGAGTCACTTTAATGAATAAGAAGCAGTGAGACTCAGTTTTAGTCTTAAGTCTGTCTGGGAGAATCAGCAGATATGTACACTTGCACCACTTTGGGGGTCTGTCACCTGCTAAATGGTACTTGCGTTATTTTGTCTCTTCACAAAGGCTATCGGATCCTTAGGGAAAGTATTTTACTTCTTATAATTTATTGGAAGCCTAAACATAACAAATGAAATAAGAATAATGAACAGAATGTATTAATAATTGTTATAATTTCTTATTAATGAATTTTATTCTTTAGAATCCGATGGTGTCTTAGAGATCATTTGTTGTCATAGGAAGGGAACATAGTGAGAGGGAAAATTTGTGTCTATTAAATGCTTCTTGTTGTACTATGTTCACTTTTCTGTTCTTTCTTGGTTGCATTCATTTGTCTTGTTTATGGAACAGGCTTGTGCAGACTAGTGTAACATATAAGTTTCAGTAATTACGCTGATTTTAAAATTATATTATTCAGCAAGTTGTCAGCATTAACCCATTAAATGCCTTCATATTCTGATTCACACTGGCAAATTAAAATTTTCCATGAAAAGTTAACCTACTTTTATTTTTATTTTTCTGAAGGAATTCATTACCCACATCAATAAGGTAAAGCTATTGATTATTTATTTATTTGGTTAATAAGATCATATAGACATCAAATATACTTTCCTATGATCTGTTTATAGCATTGTGTGCCCATCACTCAAAGTCCAATAATTTTCCATCACTATATATTTAGGCCCATTATCCTTTACTACCCTCCAACCCTCTTCTCTCATACAGACACACACACACTTTACTATTGTGTGTGTGTCTTTATGAATTTCAGTTGTATGTCACACATAAAAGGGGAGACACATAATTAAATGTTCATATTTAAAAAATTTTCAACATTTAATTTTCACAGATTATTCCATTTCTATTCATGTTATATATTTTTTTTAGCAGAAACCTAAACACTTTGAAAATGAGAAACAGCAACAAAAAGAGGTAATTTGTTCATAATGAGTGTATTTTTAAAAATTGTTATAAACTATAATCCATACAAAAGATGAGCATATTCAGTCTAAAGAACTGTAATAAAATACTGCTAGCATAGGAAATATAAAACTATCAATATATTTTAAAGATATAAGTGCATTTTTAATCTCATAAACCACTTGCAGGATATAGACTAATACTTTAGAAAAATTATTGATTTGCTCAATTTATGTTTTCTACAATGAACACTAGTAGATACATTTTCAGGTTAGAAACAGGTTTATTATTCTCAAGATACATGGATGACAAAAGAAATGGGAAAAAAATATATCATAAATCTGGATCTGATAATTGACTAGTTATTTAACCTTGACCCCAAGTTTCTTTGTACTTCCATTTCTTCAACTGGGAATGGAGGCTACTAATTACCCTATATGGTTGATGAGCTTACCCAGGGCGAATATTTAATGATTTACATGAAATTTTTATGTTTTATATTAACATTGATGAATAAGTGTATTTCATAAAAGACTGCATTACATAAAGGAGAGAAGTGAGATACAGAACAACTGAGTACACAGTTGTGCAACAATATCACACAGTTATTAAGCAGCAGAACTTACTTAAAATTATAGGTCTTAGACAACAAAGAATTATTTAATTGAATTATACATTTTGTAACATCTACTTGGAATATTTCAGCTTCATGTTTTGTTAATGTCTTGGGATTGAAACATACAAGAAATATTTTTCTAAATAAAAATGAATTTACATAATGATGCTTCTTTAAAGACTTACAATAATGACTACCTACTAAAGAATCTAGTGCTAGAAGTTAGCTGGTACCTGGATTACTTTATCTCTTCCTAAAGGTTATCAGATCCTTAGGGAAAGTATTTTAGTTCTTACAATTCATTTGAAGACTGAACATAACAAATAAACTAAGAATAATGAACAGAATATATGAACACTTATTATAATTTCTTACTAATGAATTTTATTCTGTTAGAATCAGATTCTGTCTTAGAGGTCATTTGTTGTCATGGGAAGGGAAAATAGTGAGAGGGAAACATTGGCGTCTATAAAATGCCTCTTATTGTATTATGTTTGCTAATTTCCTTTTCTTTCTTGACTGCTTTCATCTTTTTTTTTTTAAATAGAATAGGCTTGTGCAAAATAGTGAAACATATAAGTTTCAGTAATTATGCTATGTTTTAAATGACATTATCAAGCAAGATGTCCATATTAATTTCTTCATTTTCTTATTCATATTGGCAAAAAAAAGTTCCATTGTAATTTAATCTACTTCTATTTTTATTTTTCTGAAGGAATTCATTACCCACACCAACAAGGTAAAACTATTTATTTATTTACTTATTTTTATTAAATATATTGGAGTGACATTGGTTAATAAGATTATATAGGTTTCAAATGTACATTTCTAAGATACATGATCAGTATACAGCATTGTGTGCCCATCACCTTAAGTCAAGTCATCTTCAATCACCATTTTTGACCCTATTTATCCTTTACTCCCAACCCTCTTTTTTCTGGTAACCAGCACACTATTGTGTCTATGAATTTCAGTTGTATATCCCACATAAGGTGTATGTGGGGGGGGGGGGGAGGGAAAGATAAAACATTTATTTAAATATACATATTTTCAATATTTCCTACATTTAACTTTTACAGATTATACCATTTATTTTCATGTTATTTGTTTTTAGCAGAAATCTAAGCAGTTTGAAAATGAGAAACAACAACGAAGAAAGGTAATTTGTTCATGATGTGTATATTTCAAAAATTATTATAAAATATAATCCATACAAAAGAGGTGCATTATTCAGTCTATAGAATTGTAATAAAATGATACCAGCATAAGAAATAAAATATTATAAATATTTTAAAAGACAAAAGTGAATTTTTAACCTCATAATCCACTTACAGATTACAGACTAAATATCTAAGAATAATTACTGATTTTGCTCACTTTACTGGGTACACCTGTTTTCCATAAATGTACACTATTGGATATGGATATATGTTCAGGTTGGGAACTAGGTTCCCTTATTTTCCCAAGATAGATAAGCTGATGAAAGAAATGGGAAGAAAATATGGGACAAATCCAAATCTGATCATTGATCATCTGTATAACTGTGACCCCAAGTTTCTCTGCACTTCCATTTCTTCAACTATAAACTGAGAATATTAATAATCCCCTAGGGTTGATGAGCTGGCATACAGTAAACACTCAATGATTAACTTTAAAATTGTCTATATATATTATATTAACATTGATGAACACAGTTCATAAAAGACTTTGCATTACACAGGGGAGAGAAGTGAGATTCGGAACAACTGAATACACAATTGTCTGACAATATCACAAGGTTGTTAAATATCAGAGCTTGCTTAAAAATTAGGCTTTCTTAGACAACAAAGAATTATTTAACTGAATTACATGTGTGGTAACATAGTTGTCAGAATATAATATTTCAGTTTTCTTGTTTTATTGATGGCTATAGTTTGTTTGGAACATACACCAAATATTTCTGTAACTAAAAATGAATTTACAAAAAGATGGCTCTTTAAAAACACAGTAATGACCCATCAGCCAATGAAAGTGCTAGAAGTTAGCTCTTTCAATTAAGCCACAAATTAAGATTTACTTTTCATTAAAACATATAAAAGCAAACCTTAAAAGCATTCCTCTAAGCCTTTTTAAAAAATTAATTTTCATTATATGAAAACAACTTGGTTTAATATTATTCCCCCATGTTGAAAAGTTCATGCTCCCTGACTACCAAATTATGTAGTTAGCCACAACATTGAAGGCAACTCAGAAAGGAGAAACAACCTTGAAATCCTGAAACACTGATTTCAGTTTGATCTGGGTCCCCCAAAAAGGAGTGGGTAAATAAGAAATCATTCAATGATTATTTAAATCATTTTCACATGATTTACCAACACAGCTAAAAGTTTTTCTTTCTCTCTTTCACTCAGGATTCTTCAATAGAGAGGAGGTTAATTCATCATGAATGACAATTATAGCTGAATCTGGGACTTAAAGATTTTTCCTTTTTTTCAGGATGAACGCCAGGACAAAATCCACGCCTTTGTTCAGCCACAGCCTCTTTTCTATCCTAATGCTGAGCCCATCCCTTACACTGTCCTTCCACAAAACATCCTGCCCCTTGCTCAGCCCGCTATGATGCTGCCTCTCCTTCAGCCTGAAGTGATGGAAGTCCCCAATACTAAGGAGACCATCATTCCTAAGCGCAATATGATGCAATTGCCTAAATCTCCAGTAATGCCATTTCTTCAGCTCCAGATCCCAAACCTCAATGATCTCAAAGCACAGCTCCCTCTGCCTCTGCTCCAGCCCTGGATGCCCCAGATCCCCCAGCCTGTTTTTCAGACTCCCATGCTTCCCACTCAGCGCCTGGTCACCCTTCCTCAGACCAAAGTCCTGCCTCTTCCCCAGCAAGTGCTGGCCCACCCCCAGAAAGCTATGCCTGCCCAAGCCTTTATGCTGAACCAAGAGCTTCTGGTTGACCCTACCCAGGCATTCTATCCCATGACTCAACCTATTGTCCCAGCTTACAACTTCCAACAAGTAAGTCCTACTTTATTAACTCTGTTGTTTCATTCATGATGTGTATATGATAGTAGAAGATGTAAGAGATCCAGAATAAATAAATATTTAATGGCCATTTTAATGCACATAGTTGACATCAGGGATTCTCAATTCTAGTTACACATACAAAATAAAAAGTAATCTAGAAAACTTGATTCCCCCCAATACCAATGTCTAAGAATAGTCACAGATGTTTAAAAAGAATTGTTCTGATTATCTATGTAGAGGACACTGAATATTTAGAAGAAATTATTTCAGACATTCTGATGTAACTGAAGTGTAGAGAATATAGCTAAAGAGGATTGAAATGTCCTAAAGACAGAATTGAATCTGAGAATTTGAGTGTAGAATAGAGAAGTTCTATCCTTTTCAACAGTTTTGACGTTTTCCTTTTACACATCTATTCTCTACATGCTTTAATGCACATCGTGTTATATATGTACATGAGAGGACACATGTGTGAGATTTTTATTTCAGTTTTCACCAAATTTTTAGGTTTCTAATTATAATTTTATCAATTATCCCCCCATTTCCCTCTTCTACCTCCACCCACTCCCACATTGATTGAATTTTTAGAATTGTTCTAGCCAAGAAGTTAATTATATATTTATTTATTTCTCTCTTCTTTAAGGTTTAAGAGGATTTCAAAGTTAATGTTTGCCCCTCATATTTGGTAAGTTCTTAGTGTTGGTGATTACACTGATTATAGTTAACACATTTTTACATTACATTGTCCTGAATAAGCCCAAGATAGTGATAAATACCATCAATATGCAAAGTTAATTATCTATTATCAATGTATCATGTACATCCAAATAGTTGAGTATTATGTATTCATCTGCAATTATGCATCATTCAATATAATTGCATTACTGGCATATATGAATAGTTTGTTTATAAGTGCCTATGTCCTTATGCTTGATTAACATAATTTCCACAGTAACACAGAAAATTATTTCTTCTACATTTATGTAAATAAGTATGACTTTTAAAACAGTCTACTTGCATTCTCATTTCTACCTTAGGCTTCTTAAAATTCAATGTTTTTATTTTATCACATTTAAAATTTACATGTTGTCCTTTAATTCATGGGTCAAATAAAATTATTGAGTTCCAGTGTGAGGATTAAAAAAAGGAGAGAATATAACTGAGATTCTTGAGGCACCAATTTTTACTTATTATGGTATACTAGATATTTCACCAAAACAAGTCCATGTGAGATGCTCTTTGGTCTTAGAAGGCTTTTATATGCAAGATAGGGCACAACATGGTGCATTGGTAATAAAGTGCCTCTAATGAGTTAGTCACCCCAAAATTATAAATGGAGAGGCATGTACAGTTATATAATAATAAAACATAACTAATTCTATATTTATTCTCTATTCCATAGAATTGACTGCGACTGGAAATGTGGCATCTTTTCAATCTTTGTATACTGCTATCTAAAAAATTAACATTTTCAATGACTTGACATGCAAAATGCATAACCCTATCAATAATATGTATTCAAGTCATTTCTGGAATTGTACTAATTATTACTATTTCCTAAACATTCATTTCAATAAATTAGTTCTTTATGCATATTAAGCTTTCCTGTCTTTATTATAAATTTTTAAACATAATTGGTTTAATGTTAACTTTAGATTATTACTGTTAAAAATAGCCATGGAAGATTGAAATTAAATGTAACGGTTTGAAGTAAGTATTAAAATATGTTAAAAACTAGAGGGAAAAGATAATCATATGCTGGGTTTGCTCTAAAAAGACTTGGTTATTCCCATAGTCACTGTTTAACTACTACACCTGTGCCTTTCATCCTTCACAGTACTCAACATGAGTTGTCAGATTCTATGGTCACCCTAGAAAAAAAGATTCAAATGTGAAATCTGATTCACAGCTCTGCAACATAGCAGCTAAGTTGTGCTTTGAAAGTTACTTGATCTTTTAGAGCTTCAATTTCCACATCTACATAAGAGCCAATTCAAAGGATTTTTTTGAAGTTTGAATGTGATTAGTGGACTGCACTATACATGATAAGTGTATCTTGTTGCTCCATATTGCTGATTTGACTTATATCAGAGCAGCAATGGCTAATACCACAATCAGTAAGAGGTGGGTTATGTGATTTTTGCCAGTAATGTAAGAACCAAAAATGTACAGAAAGCTCAGATATTCATCCTCACTGAGTGTGTAGTAATTGTTTCATTGTAATGAATTATTCCTCTACCAACTCCTTCACTGCACACTCAGGTCTGTCCACTTGAGTGTACACAATGATTCATCTCTAGCAATCATTCCCTCTTTGCTTCATCCTCAATGTTTTCCTAGCCTTCAAGATCAAATGCAAACCAAACATGTATTCTCTCCATCAAGTGTCTGCCCTTACTGAAACCACTTATTTTTTTCAAGATCTCCAACAACTTTATTTTTTCATTGTGTTTACTGTAATTGATTTCTAACTTTATGACATTGTGATCTGAGATGATGCTTGATATGATTTCTATCTTCTTGGATTTGAAGAGACTTTGTCTGTGTCCCAATATGTGGTCTATCTTTGAAAATGACCCATGTGCACTTGAGAAGAATGTATAATCTGTGGCTTTCAGGTGAAATGTTCTGAAGATGTCAATTAATTCCATCTGATCTAGTGAGTCATTTAAGATTGATGTTTCTTTGTTGATTTTTTGTGTTGCTCAGTACATATAGGTAGGCCTGTGCAACAAAGGCCTACCTATAGGCCTTTTTGATTTTTGATTCACCTCTTTGATTCCAGGTGAATCAAAAAACCCAAAAGATTCCATCAAAAACTATTAGACTTAATAAATGAATTTAGTAATGTAGCTGGATACAAAATTAACACCAAGAAATCTATGGCAATTCTATACACCAATAATGAACTTACAGAAACAGAGACTAAAAAATCAATCCCATTTACCAACACATGCAAAAAATTAAGAATAAATTTAATTAAGGAGGTAAAAAAGCTATATGCGGAAAAAAAGAGACAGAGGAAGATGTAAACAGATGGAAAAACATACCATGTTCATGGATTGGTACAATCAACATTATTAAAATGTCCATACTACCCAAATCAATCTATAGATTCAATGCACTCTCTATTAAAATACCAATGGCATATTTCACAGAACTAGAAAAAACTCTCCAAAAATTAATCTGGAGTAAAAAAAGACCTGAAATAGCCACAGCAATCCTGAGAAAGAAGAACAAAGCAGGTAGACTCTCAATACCAGATTTCAAGCTGTATTACAAAGCCACTGTTTTCAAAACAGCCTAGAACTAGCACAAGAACAGACATATAGACCAGTGGAATAGAATAGAAAACCCAGATATCAACCCAAACCACTATGCTCAATTAATATTTGACAAAGGAGACATGAGCATACAATGGAGTCAAGACAGTCTCTTCAATACATGGTGTTGGGAAAATTGGACATATACATGCAAAAAAAAAATGGAACCAGACCAATTTACACCATACACAAAAATAAAGTCAAAATGGATAAAGGACTTAAAAATAAGATGGGAAATCATAAAAATACTAGAGGAATCCACAGACAGAAAAAGCTCAGACATATGCCAAAGCAATTTCTTTACTGATACCATTCCTAGGGTAATGGAAACTAAAGAGAAAATAAACAAATAGGACTACATCAAATAAAAAGCTTTTGTAAAGCAAAAGAAATCATCAACAAAACACAAGAAAGCCCACTTATGGGAGAACATATTTGCAAATCTTATCACTGATAAAGGTTTAATCTCCAACATCTACAGGAAACTTATACAACTTAATAAAAGAAAGATAAATGATCCAATAAAAAAGTGGGTAACAGACCTAAATAGAATATTTTCAAAAGAAGACAAAAGGAAGGCCAAGAGATATATGAAAATATGATAGGATATTTAAAAACTCACACTTACATCTAGCCTCTTCCAAGAGAAAACCACAAAGCAAAGTCATTTGTCAAAGCCTAATTTCATGAATAATGACTAATTAACATCTATATGAAATCTGCCTTTTAAAAACATACATATTTTGGCCCTAGCTGGGTTTGCTTAGTGTATAAAGCAACAGCCTACAGACTGAAGAGTCCTGGATTTGATTCTGGTCAAGAGCACATGCCCTGGTTACAGACTCAATCTCCAGTAGGGGGCATGCAGGAGGTAGCTGATCAGTGATTCTTTCTCATCATTTGTATTTCTATCTCTCACTCTCCCTTCCTCTCTAAAACCAATAAAAATATATTAAAAAATAAAAATGTACATACTTTGAAACCATGTTGTACTTGAACTTGAACTTCTTTATAAACAAAACTCATTGTGATAACAAATAGTGAGCTGAGAAGTTAATCAATATATATATATAATATATATATACTAAACAACTATTTGATTGTTTATATTAGAGGCAGGGCCAATTGAAGGACAGAGGAGTAAAAAAAAACCACCACAATTATTCTTCTTATGTTTTGAAAATGTGAAATGCAGGGCAGAATTAACTGAGACAGGATGAGGTGTACAACACAGAGTTCCATCTTGGGTTTGTTAAATTTCAAGTGCCTTTTACATGCAAAGTGTGTTAACTGGAGGGTCATAAAGGCAGTACAGGAGACAGCACACAGGACATGTAACTCTGCATTCTACCAACCTCTCTTCATTCTCACATTCTTGCCTAGCATCAGAGTCTTGGTACTGTCCCGCTATTCCTTTCCAGTGTCTTTAGTTACAGAAGTTGCTCTCTCTCTTCTGAAGAATAGAGATTGGCCTTTATTTTAGCTGCTTTTCTAAAAAAGAGTAAAGATCTGTTTTCATGAATTTTGGTGATAAATCTTTCAATCTCATGAAAGTTATAAATGACTGTAATTTGTAGATTTTCACTGCCAATATTTATAACCATTGCATAAATGAGATTTTCTTTCTCGCTACCTGTGAAATGTGAATTAGCTTTTCTTACAAATATGACTAAAGACAACATTTTGGTTATTACTTTAGTGATTTTATGTAAACTGCATGCATTAAACTTTCTTTTAGTACAGAATATTTCACAATTACAATGTCATTGCCTAGATGATTTACTTGTTCTTCGAGTAGCTCTTCAGCTCTATTATGATCTGCTTTCTTCCATAATCATTGCCCCTGAAGATTATAAAATAGCATTGTATGTCTTTGGTTAAAAATATTGACAGACTGGAAAATATTGTTAATGTTAGTTTATAATAGTTGTAAAAATGTTAGTGAGAATAAACATAAATATGGGTCTGTACATTCAGTTGTGTCCCTCCCCCAAGATAATGTTGAAATCTTAACTCCCCATACCTCAAAAATTGACCTTATTTGGAAACACAGGTGATAGCAGATGTAATTAATTAAGACAAGGTTATCCAGGGGGTAAGGTGTGTGTCATGAGTTTAATATGACTGTTGTTATTACAGAAAAAGATAAAGAGGGAGAAGCCAGTTTTGTGACAACAGAGACAGAGATTGCAGTGATGCATTTACAAACCAAGAAATGTCAGGATTTCCAATAAATGTCAGGAAGGAGGAGCAGCAAAGATGAATTGTATAGCTGCCACAAAGAGCAAAGCTCTGCTGTTGTTTCTTAGCCACCAGTTATGATACTTTGTTTTGGCAGAGCTAGGAAATAAAAACAACGGGATATCCGACATGTGCGTCATAGATCAATTTATTGTGTATGCATTTTTTTAAATTTTATGATCTTTTAATAAGAGAAAAAATTAGAAAACAATCAAATAGTCCAGAGAATATCATTACTACTGTGTTACAACTGTTGATTCAATTGGTCTCAGATTTGTGTTGTGCATGTAACACTATTACTTGGTTGACTTTCCCTTTAGTTGTTGATATATTTTGCTTGTGGGTTTTTGGTTTTTTTTTAAGCTGAAATTTGTAGACAGAAACATTACTTTTGGGTCAAATTATTTTTAAATTCCAATATAATGCATTGGGTAATACAAATAATACCCTAAACTTTGAATTGTCCAATTAAATATGCCTTTTGAGGCACTTTGGATGTATTTGTTGTAAACAGGCTGATAATATGTTACTAGGTATATGAAAGGGTTTTTTAGTAAGAAGAATCATCATGAGGAGAGAGCAAAGAAGACTTCTCACCAAGCCTGTAGATAAAAAGAAAATAGAAAACGTTTTTTTTTTTATTAAACAACAGACCAAGTTATTGCTAATTCCAGTATGCTTTCCAGTTTTTGAATTATATCTATATCTATTTCTTTGTGTCTAACCAACTATTCATAGTTGTGCTTTTGTTACCCCCTACTAGTTCACAGATGAACTTTGTTACCCCTACCAAATGACAGGCTGCTCTAACCTTCTGCTTGTCCCAAAACTTGAACAAGCACTGAAAAATGAATTACACCCCTTTATCAGTTTATCCTGAAGGTCTGCTGACTATAGTGGACACTTTTTCCTACTGGTTATTTCCCTATGCTAGTTCACTTTCCCCTTAAAAGCTTATCCTAATCTTTGCTTACTTCTCTCTACCATGTAGGAAAAAGAAAAATGCCCTTTTCTGTTTCATTTTGAGACACTTGCAGATATCTGAGATTCAAGGGACCTCCTCATGGCAAAGATCTTTGTTTAGAATAAAGTATTTCCTTGTCTATGTTTTGAAAAGTTTTTACTTGACACAATAAAGGTTGCTTGACCCAAAACCGTGCCTTGGTTAAAATTATTCTGATAAAAAATCTTTATTAAAATTATTCTGAATTAGTTATATCATCAGATTCCAATTTGGAATAAATTACTGCTATCTCTGCTATATCTTTCATAGTTCTAGCTCTTATTCTCCATCTTAAATTACTGTACTAGTTCCCCAGTGAATTGTTTATGGTCTATCAGTACTCCCCTTATCCTGCTGGCCATACTGTGGCTTATGCAATAGGTCTCAATAACACATCCAGTCACATCACTGCCTTTCAAATGGTATTCTGACTGTTGATAGCTGGCCTTATATCCATCTTCATGACTAGACAATAAGCTGTCCAATGCAGAGACTCTGCTTAAAGGTATTTGTGTTCCAGTGGTATCTCTCTGCATGTTCACCATACGGTACACAAATATCTGATGACTAAATGAATGCAAATTTCAGCTGCTTCCCTAATTTCCAAAATAGTATCACAAGAACCAGGATTTATTTCCAGTTGTGTCTTTCAAAGAATTCCTTATTTCCAGGTCTTTAAATCTTGTGGCCAAACTAATTACAGTGTATGCACCAACGTATGATGTTTTCTTTTACATATTTAAGTGTTTTAAGAAACATTGAACAAAGAATGAAAAAATTATTGTGTAAGCTTTTATGGTCGTTTTTCCTCACTTGTCATTTCTCACGTGAGGTTCAGTTCTGCAAGTGAGTGCACGTGGCTTTTGAATTCGAATGCTATTCACTTTCAAAATTAAC